TTATTGGCCAAAATGATTTATAGGGCTTAGAATAGTAGATTAGTGGTGTGTGCATATGTATTTCTATTTATATAGCTATAGATACATATATACGCCAGTTTCCATGTTGTGCAGAATTATCTTCTGGCTGAAATAGGAGTCTTATATTTGGGGACATCTAGAAAGGAAGTATAAAAAAGAACAATAACCAAAAATGGAAAATAAAGACAGTTAAAAGATGAATTCCTATATCCCCAGCAAAAATAATGGTAGATTATTGATAAAATATATTGTGTGAAAAGTGATCCACCCTAGTCTGCCTATGCAAGCGCATATACTATATTTGAGTCAAAAAAATCATTTGGGGCATTTATCCACAATATTTTTTTACTACCTAATTCTAAGGCAGAAAATTTCTAGTTCTGAAAAAGGCATCATGATATTTTATTTTTATTCTCTAGAAAAGTTTCCACTGCTGAAGTATAATTCTATCTATATAAATAACCTACCATCAGGTGTTTTATATCATATTCAATGATAAACTCTGAAATGTAGTGGTTTTTTTTGCTTTGACAGCCCATGAAATTCGTCATCTATTTTCATAGATCCTTCATTCAGAAAAAGATTTGATTTTTAAGGATTTGTGGTCCAAGCAGAAATATGTGAATAAAAGATTTGCAGCTTTTAAAATCAACATCAGAATTTACTGGTAAAAACCTAGAGTCAGTGGTGAAATGTTATTGTAATCATTTATCCTTTGTGACCTTTAAAAGAATAAAAATATAGCTGCTGCTTCGTGCTCATAGTTTATATCTAGCACACTAGATAAGCACAAGAAGTTTTTTCATTCATCTTGCAGTCCATGACTTTCCCAAGAATTCCCCTACGCTGTCTGTTGCCAGGAGGCAGTGGCACTGTGTGATCCCAGTATCTAAAAAGATGCAACTACACAAGCTAGAAAAAAGGGCTTTACTCATCTTATGTGCCTTCACAAGAGTAACTAGAATGGAGAGCAGTAGGACCTGATTCCTTTTCAAAATTTAAATGTACAATCTGTGTTCTCCCTTTCTCAGGTCTATTAGTGTGCAGTTCTTCTATATGGGTCCATAAAAGTGGACTTGATCTAAAATTTCCACTTAATCAAGTTATCAGAATGGAAAAATATTTCCTTTCAGTGGGAATTCTGATTTTAAAAAAAATAATTCGCTCAGGTAAATTGTATTACTTATCATTTATCAGATTTATTAAACATGTTCTTGTGTTCTAATCATTCTTCATATACAAATATAAATATGATCATTATATTAAATTATCATCTTAAATGTCTCATATTCCAGACAAAAACTACAGAATGCTGGCTTTAGAGTCAGTTCTGTGAGCAGTTAAGCCAGGCACCTTGAATATAGGTAAATTCTGCCTCAGGCTAGAAGGTTCACTTGGTGGGTACAGTAGGGTCTGCATTAGAATTGTAGATTCTGCCACCAACAGGCACTCTCACCTTGGGTAAGTCTTTCAGTATCTCTGGCATTGGGCAGGCAGGAGCCCACTTCTATCATTTTGTGTTTTCTGAGTGATATCCAGAGGCCCACATCTGTCCTTTTGTTGGTTCAAATGAGCTGAGCAGAGGGTGAGACCAATCCTTTCCTGAAGTCCCTAAATGCTACAGACAGCATGATGAGAGGCAGGCCACAAGCTGAACAAGAAAGCCAGAGATTCAAGATGGAATCTTAAGAATCAGAAGAGATAGTGAGTTCCAGGTCAGTCTCAACTACATAGTGAGACCCAGTCTCAAAGAACCAAAAATAAGGAGAACCACGCCTGCTCCCGACCCAGCAGCCATCGCTCAAACGCCGGGAAGGTAGCCGCGCGGGCGCCCCTGAACCCCCATAAGCCCCCTCTCCCCGCACTCTCAGACCTCCTGACTGTGCAAGTCTTTGGACCCACTCTGCAAAGACAGAGGTGGTCATCAAGGGTATTTTTCTGAGTTCCCAACTTTGAACATCTTTAAAGAAAGGGCGGGGGAAACCTGTAATAGAACGTTGCGGAATTCAACCATTCAGAAGGATGGGGAACTCAATCTGGGCCTTGCAGCCCGAGGTCATTCAGCGTCATGGGGTTCAGCCATCAGCTAACTGAGATCAGGGGTCTTCTATCCTCACTCTGTCTGAGCCATTAAAAGGTTAATATATTACATTGAAAAGTTTGTTCACTGCAGAAATGTTCTGGACTGCTTCTTGATTTCAATTTAATTCAAATGATTTAAGGGCGACAGACTAGTGACTACCACAGGTGGTCAGTGTCCAAGTTGTGCTTGATCTTAATGTGTTGCTGATTGTATCAGTTGGGGTAAAGCATTGCCGTTGATTTGATGAGCTGTTTTCCCTGATGTTATGAAGATGAGAATGTC